CAGAAGACGCGGCTCTCAGAGTGAAGCTCATATTCTTTCAGGTTTCAGAGAAAAGTGAAATAAAGAGGGTCACTTACCGTGTACCACTGGATAGGTAATGCTTGTGTTTTCTGTTGGGTCACGATGAAGAAATGAATGTGCATGAGTGGAAAAAAGAAGGCAGCACGCTGTGTTTTAGGACACTCTAAGGAACCATGGCCATAATAAGAATGTAATTTGCATAAATGTGTCAGATAATTCACTCATCTCCTTCAGGACATAGCGATGTTGCAGACTTCTTCGTTTTTCAGTTTAGTGATGATGTCTGTATCCTAAGAAGGTAGCTTAAAACGACCGAAAACCTGTTTCCTCTTTACTCTGAGATTTACATCAACACTACAGAAGAGCTACAACAACGTCTTCTCGGTTCCCGGCATGTCTCCGTATTTCAGAACACAGTGATCATAAAAAAAGGATTCTCTCCGCAGTTTTGCAGCTTAAGCAATTTCATTTTCCAAAATCCCCTTCTTGGTCTTCCAGTTGGATATTCAGATCCACCGAGTGAAATCTCAGAGGTTCCAGGCCGGGTTTTGTTTCCTCCCTGGAAGAAAGCTTCTTCTCCATGTCTGGAGCCACTGTCCACCTACCTCCAGCACACCCTGCGGACAGCGTGGCTTGGGAGGAGCTGTTGCCTGCACAACGCAAATGCACAGATGCTTCCCCGAGTGACTGTGGTTTCCATGCTCGAGTGCAAAGAGGGACCAGCGTTCCTGACCTGTCATTCCCAGCCAGCTCCCAGGAAGGATTTCTTCTCTCGCCTCTGGCACTCAGCACCTGAATTCCCATCTCTCCCACGGAACTGCTTCTCTGAACTCTCTGCTGGATGCAAACGTGAGGAAAGCCGGGAGAATCATTCCCAATCTTCTGGGTCTCCACTATGCTGTAAAAAAACCCCTGGTACATGTCCTGTTTGTTCATTTTCTGAGAGATAAACCGGCCTCCTCTCCCTGTTTGCATTCAGTCCAGTTAATGCTTTCCCCACCCCTCAGTTAAAAGTAGACGTTTCTTTCTCGCGGTATGAAGTCAGTGCTTACCGAGCAACGGGCTCTGTCTGAGTCACCCTGCAGCCAAGTCCTCCCATATCCCTCACGGACGGACCTGGGAGATCATCATACAGTCCCTTCTCCTCTGATGTTACCCCACAGGCTTAGAAATACTTTAAAGGTTCCTGTACTTAGAGATCAGACTTGAACTCCTGTACCTGTGTACGGCCAACAGCTATTGAATATCAAACGCAAGAAGAGGCCATAAATTAAACCGCCAGATACACAAACGCTAACGACCAGGAGTTACAGGCGACAATAGCAAAGACCAGGGATCTAACAACATCGGTCGATGGGCCATCAAAGGAACCATTGAAGTGTAAACTCCGAGAGGTTCAGCCAGAAATTTTGTAAACGATAAGGGGTGGGGGATATTATCATGGATTATCAGAAAGGGTCTCATAGGAAAAAGCAAATTGATTATGCTATGTTTGAGGGGGGTTCTAAGGAATGTGCAAAGCTAATTAAAGGGTGATTAGAGGCAGAATCACATT